GCAAGCAGAGAGACAAGAGCTTTGCGGGGGGGGGTGGGGGGGGGGGAGGGAGGGGGGCGGGGTACTCGGTTGTCGATTGAAGTTGCCGTTCCACCATTGGTCACGCATCACATTTCTGACGAAGAACAGCAGTTCGTATCCTCGATGAAGATAGAGAGACAGGTGACTCCTCGGGTGTCTTTTGAGAAAATCTGGGGTCTGCCTCACCCAACGGCCTGTAATCTGTCTCATCCGGGGTGGAGGACGCGGTGCAAAACAGCTGCTGTGCATACGCCGTGTGTGTGTGTGTGTGCTTCGTTCCATGTGTTATGGCACCAGCCAGCACCTTTCGGGGGTTATGCTTGGCGTGTCAGCCCGGGGCACACAGAAAGGAGGAAAAATGGGAACCTTTGTGGTAGAGAAGGGTCAACAGGCTTTGTCAGCGGCCCCAAGTTGTGCCTTTTCCTGTGTAGCGGGTGTTTCCCCCAAGTTTTTTTTTTAACCGCACTGTTGCATGTGCATCGGGGGCCTCGAAGCCTGTGCTTGGTCCAAAGTCGAGAGGTTGCCGTCATGTTGACAAAAAACACGACTCTGTGTTATTCGAAGGGTTGAATAACACTTTTGTTGCGTTAGCACCAAACGGTGTGTGTGCACTGGGGAGGTACCTCTGTAGATGACCTCCAGGTGGTAGCTTCGTCCGTCAATGGGTCAGTGCAGGTGACACGTTCCCCTCGAGCAACCAATAACCACACAGCGACCACCATATGGTGAGAAAAGATACCACACTCCCTGTGCTGATTGTAGGAGCTCGAAACTTCCTCAGCAGGCGATGCCGAAAGTGGCGGAGTTGTTGGAACCGCCTCGTCGAGACCTATCCGAACACGTATCATTTGATTTTGCCTCCCTCTCTTCGTCGTGAAGCAGTCAAGCTTTCAAAAAACGGTCCAGGGAGGGGGTGTGGCATCTTACGTCACCTACGGTACATCAGCCAAAAAAAAGGTTCCCAACCTCCATACATGCGAACGAACGAGCCAGTGGCAACAGACCAAACGCCATGGTTTTAGCGCTACGTACACGAACAACGAACAAGAACGAACGAACGAACGAACAGATGAAACGCACGGACCGATCGATCCACTCTACACCCCCCAAAACACACAGGATGCGCGGGCACCGGCAAGTCCCTCGTACTCAACCGCATCCTCGCCAAGCTCTTCGAGGCCGGGGTCCCCGGCGGCGCGGTTTATCCGACGGCGACGACTGGCCTGGCGGCGTGCCACGTAAAGGGCACCACGCTGCAGCAGTTCTCCGGCATCGGGAAGGCGGCGGCTTGCGGCGGGTCACCGGAGGAGGTGCTCAAGGCGGTCAGGAGGCGGCCGGACGCCGTGCGGAGGTGGAAAGCGGTTCAGGTGAGGTTCTTACATCGTTTAGGAGGGATTCAAGGGTTGCATTTCGACACCGGGGGGCGGCTGTATCACAGATAGAATGCTTACATGGCAATACATTTTTTCTTCGTATTACTTATTTATTATTGGGGGGTTTTATGGGGAGAGAGGGGGCGGGGCGCTCTTCTCTTGGTTTCCGAAGTTGAGGGGGTGGACGGCGGCGCGATGGAGGAGTGCCGGCAAAACATAGACGGTGTGAAAAATCGGAGGTAATCGACACAGGTGAAAATAATCTCGTTTTCTCTTTCTGGATGGTACTTCCATCTTCCATCAAATTGTTTTGCAAATACGCATGCCGTTGCTGAAAAAAACGTGATACATCCGCACAATTCAGGTCTTGATTGTGGACGAGATCAGCATGTTGGATGGGGACACCTTCGACGCGCTCGAGTTCGTCGCACGATCGATCAGGGGGGTTGACGCACCATTCGGGGGCGTTCGGATCGTCCTCAGCGGCGACTTTTTTCAGGTAAAGCTTGCTGTTTCTTTTTCGGGCATTGCCCCCCAGCCGTTTTTTTTTTTCACGTGCTTGGAGGAGGAAACGTCTTCTATTATTGTTCGTTTTGTCCTCGTTTTTCTTATTCAAGGGAAACGATGATTAGAAACTTTGAAAGGTGTGTGTGTTTTCGTTCATATTTTGACGCTAAAAGTGGGATATCGGGGTGGGTTTCATGACGGATTGGCACAACATTAGTTGTCTCACTTTTTCACGGGGCTCCTTCTGTCAACATCCTGACTGGTGTTTTCTAGGATCTGTTTCTGGGTATTTTCGAGGAGCCAAGATTTGTCATTATCTTCTGTTTCGTTTTGTTCGAACATGGGCCGCTCGGAGACGTGAGCCACCTGCTGGTGCTTCTGCTATTCGCGCCACATGCACACCGTTACAAACTCGGAGGGAATTCAGCAACTAGCCGATCGAACCTTTGCTGTGCGCGTGTGTCAATTTTTATTGGAACCTCCGGCTGACGGGAGACATCGCACACAGCAAGGATGACTTTATTCGTCCCAGCGGCAAAACTCTCAAAATAAATTCTCAACCCTCGTGCCCGCCTCGCCCCCTTGGACATGATCTTGCACACACACACACACACACCCTCCTCGTTCATTGGTCTCGGTGTGTGCAACACCCCCCGTCTCATGCCGCTCTACCGCCATCAGCTACCGCCGGTGTCTCGCAAGGGGGAGCCGGAGAAGAAGCTTTGCTTCGAGGCCAGGTCTTGGAAGGCGTGCGTCCAGGTAACGAAAAAAAAAAAAGGGACTGCCTGCGCAAAAAAAGTAAGGGTGGAACTGCTCCTGCTGCTACTGGTTGCGTGCTGCTGTCGAGACAGAGCAAGCGCGATTTGCCGAAACAACGGCTGGCTCTTGTCCTACTTGTACCCCCCCCGAATCCTCCCCTCCCCCCCGTCCAAGTTACCGCCTCACCCTCAACGGCCGCTCTCCAGTCAATTCCTATCAGGAGATCTTTTACCAGACCGCTCTTTCTCCCGTTCTTTTATTTTTTCTATTTCGCGGTGCTTGCAGGAGACGGTGGAATTGAAGCTGGTCTTCCGACAGCAGGATAACAGTTTCGTCAAGGTAAGGAGAGGCCCAGCAAGCCGTAGAAACCACGCACGGATACATGTCACATGTCACACACGCATGTCTCTAGGGGGGGAGTGAATCCTGTCCCCGTGGCACTCAATTGTGGCCATGCCCGTGTAGACAGCAGTACAGGAAATAACGATTATTTTTTCCGATGTCAGGTGAAGGTGGGAAGCATATGTTGTTCGGGCGTAGATTGTAGCGCTGAGAAAGGCGACTTCGACTGTTGTTGCGGCAGAACACGGGGGCTTGTTTATCCGGTGCATCGCAAGGAAACGCCACGATAGATTAGACGAAGCACACGGTCAGTGCGTTCTCATGCTCTCATTCGTGCTGATAAAGCGGCGTTCCCAGCAGCTGAACCCGCTCACAGTACATACGGCGACCAAACTCTTCGGCAGTGACCATCGAAGCGAAGCAGCCCACGATGATGATGGTCGTCAGACTTAAACCCCTCTCATCGCCCCCTTCTGTTTTTCGCGTGGCCTTGCATAGTGCTGATGTCTGTCTCTGCTACGATGTCCGTTGTTTGCTGTGGATATCGTTCACTGTTGACCCTGCGGTTTGTAGCCGCTGTTCATCATCCCGAATGTAGGTTTGCTGGTAATCTTATAATTGGAAGAATACACACAACAGAGAGACTGCGCTATTATTTTCCGAGGGTTGTATCTCCTGAAGTTTCTCTCCCATCCCGCCAGCTCCTCAGCAAGGTTCGGTGGGGCCAGTGCACTCCGGAGGTGCTGGCAAAACTACGGAGCTGCGCCGAGAACAGCATCACCAACGCCAATGGCGGCGGGGGGGGATCGTCCCCCCAAGTCGTCGTCGTCGACGACGGCATCGAGAAGACTCAGCTCCTTACCCACAAGGCGGACGTCCTGAAGGTCAACGAGGAGGTCAGCAGTTTAGCTTAACCCTTTGCCATGTACCCTTTTGCCCGCGACCACGCTGACGTTAGCCTCAGCCCTAGCCATGCGGCCCGTGAACCGAAAGTTGAGTTGCCGGACCCAGCAAGAGAGGGGGAGTCGCGAAGATCACCTAGTTTGACGAGGAAGTTCGACCCTGTTCCTGTATGCACTCGTGTGCTGTAGGACACCTGGTTTTGCTGACCCCCAATAAGCATAATAATCGTGGCTGCTGGTGAGGGAAGAGGAGGAGGAGGAGGAGAAACTAAAGGCTGAAACCAGCCCTTCAAGTCAATACTTTCTAGTTGAAGCGTGGTGTGGCGGCACCCGGGAGATGGTGGCCAGGAGGGCGCTACGTTACGAGACCTTCACTTAAATCTTTCGTAGAACTCAAATCTTTCGTAGAACTCAATGGTGCCTGCCTAGCCTGTGTGAGCTCGTCCGAGCTACCGCTATCGTAGAGCGCACAGCAGTTTCGTTTCCTAGTCTGCGGCAAGTACGGCAAAGGAGAGAGCATTCCTTCCTCCCTGGTCTGAAGTTTTACTTTGAGAAACCGCAACCATGCGTTGTTGTTTTTTATCTCTCTCCCGCGCGTCTGATGGAAGATGCTGCGGTGTTACTTTCACTACGCTCATTTGTGAGCAACCCTCTCAGCGGTGTAGTGGGACAAAGCAAAACGAACCAGGAGTAGGGGGGAGGCGGTACCGAGCTATTTTGTAGGCCCTGCCCCATATTAGCTCGAAAGGTGTTTGTGTACGTCTATACTCAATTTCCCTCGTAGCGCAACGCCTTTGTTGATAACGAATGGCGTCTCGATTACTGTGCGGGTTCGATTCAATCGCAGCGGTTAGGCCGCCTGGACGGGGCAGAGGTCGTATCGAAGGCCGAGAACAGAGGAAACAGGCCGGATATCCTCAGGCAGCTGGACGACTCTTGCTCCGCCCCGGCTACGCTGAGGCTCAAGGTCGGCGCACAGGTTAGTGGCGGTGTGATGTATCGATTGGTATTGAGGCTGGTGCCGTGCTTGATTCCTTCTCTGAGTTAGACATGCATGCCTCTGGCCACGGCCATGACGAAAAGCCACAATATCTGATTGTGTGAGGCGCCCGAAGAGCGTGATGCAGAAAACATGCTTACTGACAAAAAAGTATCTTTCAACTGCGTCGGGATATGACACAGCCAATGTTTCCCATCCACCCTTCAAGAGAAGCATTCATCCTTTGACAACTTCTTCGTCGGGTACCGAAAGGGCCTCTAATAGTTGCAACCAAACCTCGGTCGGTGTGATATGTTGGAATGGTTTAAATATTTTTTTGTGTGTTTCTCACCACCTGTCAACTCAACCCACACCCCCCGGGCAGGAATTCATATTTTTAATCGCTCGTCGCTTGCTGACAAGGGGCCCCCATGCGATGTGAAAGCAACCGATATACCACAACGGTACATTCACTACGGCAATGAACGTACGCCGCTTACACCCTTGGCCATTTTTTCACACACACAAATACTTCCGTTGGCCCTTTTTGGGTTGGACTCTTCGACTACACAGCGTGTTCTCGTTTTTTCATCCCTTTTAATTACAGACTGAAGCCTTTGCCTTGGCCACAGCCTCGTAGCGCGGTCGATGCTACTAATAATAATAGTAATAACACACGAAAGAAACCGGTCAACAGGTGATGCTTGTGAAGAACCTGGCCACCGGCCGCGGTCTGGCCAACGGTTCGAGGGGAGTCGTCGTCCGTTTCGCGAAGTCGACGTCCAGCGGGGCCCGGCTACCCGTCGTTCGCTTCGCCTCCGGTCTGGAGGAGGTTATACGGTGAGGGCAGCAGCCGATCGATCGCGTATGTCCATGTGTCGAAACTAAAATAGGGTCGAAACCATCATCGTATATATTTTTTTATTTTTTTTATCTTCCCATCTACTCCCGTTCCTCGCGGGGTCTACCTACCTACCTAAAGAGGCCTTAAACCCTCTTTACGTAAGGGTTCTCCGAATCTTCGTTTTTATGCGATCGATTCAGCTTTCAGTTACAGATAGCACGAAGTGTAGCGCTCTACAGCCGAAGGTCAAGTTTTCGCTCGCTGGGATCCGAAATCAATCGCAGCTTGGCCGCGAGACGGTCTTTAAGTTGGCCGACTCGACGGACGTATGGCAGTGAAACGTTCGTGACGGCTTGGCATGATCCGGTCTGGTCTGGATAGAGAGGGGCGTTACCCGAACAAAGTATCTATGCTGTTGTTGTTTATGTTCCCAACACCGCCGATACGCTCTATCTATCTATCTCTCTATCTCTCTCTAGCCTCTGTCTCTCTCTCTCTCTCTCTCTCTAGCCCCCCTCTCTCCCTCTAACCTCCCTCTCTCGCTCTCTCCCCCTCTCCGTCTCCAATGAACCACAGGCCGGAAGAGTTCCACCTGTACGTCGGAGGACAGGCGGTGGCCTCGAGGAGACAGCTCCCCCTGGCCCTGGCGTGGGCTCTCAGTGTCCACAAGAGCCAAGGAATGTGAGAACTTCTTGCAAAGAGGGACAGATCGTGGGTGTTGTTGTTGCTTCAGTACGTTGCGAGGGGCAGGGGGGAAGCGTCTTGCCGAGATGATTGGCCACAGTCTTGCGACCACGGCTCCTAGCGAAACCGCAAAGCCTGGTCGTCCGAGGGGGACGGCTACGGCGAAATCGTTGCACGTTTCGATCATAGCGTACCATACTGATGAGCGTTCCCACAGCTTCAAAAGACCCACAAACGAATATTTGTGGCTGCTGCCGCTTCGAGGTGGGAGGTGATGAGGAACAAATTGATGTTTGGTGTTCCTCCCTCGCCACCGGCGGACTGGGAGGGACGAAGAGGGGGTGCTGCTGCCGCCGAAGTGCAAGACGGGGATGGATGCCCTCGAACCAGATCGGACAGAGGAACCGTGTGCTTTCCACGCATCATACACATGGCGCCCGCCTCCCGTCCTTTCGGTGTCGCCGCTGAACACCACGTCTTGCGATGGACGCAAGAGAACAGCCAGCCCATGGGGGTTGGTCTGTCTACAATCTCGTCGCCCCCGCTCACCACCTGGCCGCAACCGGACGCCCATCGTTATTTTGGTCTGCCGTGGGTTGCGCGCTCCCTCATTTTTCTCTCCGCGAAACCAACAGTAGGCAGGCCGCTCCCCGCCGCGGCACACCTTCAGGAAGGCTTTTCGAGTAGACAGAGTTACGGTGTTTGTGTGTGTGTGTGTGTGTGTGTGTGTGTTTTGGTTTCGGAGGCTCTGCCCTTGGCAGAAGCAACCCCCCCCCCCCCCCCTCCACATGGCCTCTTTTATCATGACGATCATCATGTTTGTGTGCGTACTACAGCACGTCGTCCTCTTTTGTCTTTCATGTCTCAGCTGCTGCGGCTGCTTTTGCGCTTGTTTTGCGTCCGTCTGTTGTTTCTTACGCCGCCACTGCGGCTGCTACTGCTGTTGCGCGTGTTTCGCATCCGTGTTTTTTGCTTCTTTCGCCACCACCGGTCAGGTCGCTCGACCGCGCCAGCGTGTGCCTGTCTCGGGCCTTCGAGTACGGCCAGGCCTACGTGGCCCTGTCCAGGGTCCGGTCCCTGGAGGGCCTCTCGGTCGTCGGCACGATCGACCCCTCCAAGATTAGGGCGCACCCACGGGTCGTGTCGTTCTACCGAGCCCTCAGCCGTGAGAGAAAGGAGGCGTTACGGAGGAGGGGCGGGGGGTGAAATATAGGCATGTAGTAGAGGGCAATCGATCCTCCGTGCCCCCAGACTCTCTCCTCTAAACCGCGGGAAAAAGAGAGAAGTCAGCGAGAAGTCTTCGGTCAATTCTTGGGGAAGCGAAGTTAGTCAAGATTATGGAGAGAGAGACAGGCAGAGACAGAGACAAGAGAGATTCGGTCTGTCTCGTCTGCTGGGTCGTCTCCGTTGTTCTCGCTTTCGCCGTCTTGGGTCGTGTTTGTGTTGAGGCGTGCGTCCACGTCGTCAGTTGGACCGGCGCGGACGGGCGTTAGAGGCGTGGCACGGATGGTAGATACATCGATTGTGGTGTCGTAAATCAATGCGCGGAAGACGACGAGGACGACGAGAAGAAGAGAGCACGAAAAAAGCTAGCCTGGGTTGCAAGAACGAAAGGAAGGGTGAAGTGGGAGGTGTGGAACGTAACACCGCTTGTCGGGCGGAGGAAGGAAGGGGGAGGGTGTGTTTGCCCCCGGGTGGTGTCTTCGAGCGATATTGATGGTTTGAGAACATCGGGTGATTGATGGCATCAATCAGACTAGGGTTCACATTTATTTCTGAAACACGCGGTTGGAACAAGTGGTGGGAGGTAGGTTCCTTCGCGAACCCTGCTCGCTCCGAGTAGTGTTTACATATTGATAGTAGATCTTTAGGACTACCGCGTTCTGATTGGTCGGGCGTTGTTCGGCGTTGGTTCTGACGGCCAGCGCCCTCTCCCCGTTCCGCATTCCGAGCACGCGGCGCAGCCGCGTGCCGCCCAGTTCGCGGCCGCTAGGCCGTGCTTTGGCCTTGGCCTTGGGTGAGGGTAGATGTGGGGTGAGCAACCTAGTCTTGCTCGCGTGAAGAACCTAGCCTTGTTACGTTCAACATCGGTTAGTCCTAAAGAGTTACTATCAATGTGTAACCAAGGCTCCCCTGCTTGCTCCGTCGCAACAACTGGGCAACCGTGCTCATTTCTTATTTGCCTCGCCCTCTCAAACGCCGCGGTATACACAAAATGAATCGGTCTGTGAAGCTGAGGTAGATAGAAGATACCCAGGCCGAAGAGCGCAGCATTTTGCGTGTTCTTTTGAAAGGCGGGCGAGACTCTCAGCTAGCGAACGCCCCCCCCCCGCACCGCAGGGTGGGTGAACGGCAATAATAGTAAAGGTTCAACCGAAGGGACGGACGCGTGTTGGTCGCCGGAGGGAGGGCGGGGATCCGGGGACCCTCCATGCTCTTTGGTAGAAGGAAGCATCTCTTCATTTCGTCAACTGTTGGTATGTAATGTGTGTTGTTTGCCCTTGTTCTCTTCTTGCACTCGCGCACAACAATATTAATATTATGTAGCGACGATCGTATATATATCCATCCACTGTGCACAACCCCCCCCCCCACACCTACAACCAACAAAGCACTGCATCCTGAAAAATGAAAAACCCGGGTAGACCAACTCTCCTTCCGAACAGAAGATGCTGCAGCGCTATCGAAAGGAGGCAGGCACTCGTCCAACTTATGCTTGCTTGTCCAATGACGCATTCACTAAATAGTCTCGGTAGTCAATTACGCATTACCAACTCCAACGACCTAACAACAACAAATGTAATGATTCGTTACGAGTAACGCTCGTCCGGTGCGTGCCCAGCAGTGTAGCCGCCGGGGCAAGACATGGGACAGTCTTCATCATGGAGTGAGTAGTTGAAGACAACACCTTGCCGGAGCCACACACTAATATGTTTTTAATGCCTCTCGTAGTACAACTTTCAGAAACCACCACACGCGCACGCTCCTGCCAACGACTCGCCCAAGAAACGTGCAATCAAAAACGCAGCAGGCTAGGCTGCATATTTTTCCGACGCGTTTTCTACACTGGGCAACACGTCTCACCCCACCCAATATATAAAAAATAAATAAAAACGAGTGACACACCGCACGCAACAGTATTTCGCTGCCCCTTCCCCCCTTAAGTGAAGCACACACGAGAGCAGAGCCTTTCTTCACCTGGTCCTAAATGTCTCCGTATTTTCTTTGCTCTGGTTGTGTACTCTTTCTTTCTTGTGCACAACTACAATCCCTAGCTCTCAGCATCTCCGTACTCTCTTTGCTCCGGTTCTGTGCTCTTTCTTCTGCACAACAGTCTCGCAACAAATATGCATATGGAACACAAAAGACCATACCCGCATGCATGTAAACATACGATGGTAGCAGCCAATCGCAGAGCGATCGTTCAACTAATGGAGGGAGGAGGGAGAATCAATCCTCCCTTTTGGGCGCTCTCAACCATTCCAGTCGAACAAAAGAACAAATGGAACGCCATTCAGTAGAAGAACACCAGATAAAAGATAGAGAAAAAAAAAAAAACACCAGAGATTCAGTAGTAGAAGAACACGAGAGAGACGGCACTGCGGACAACCACGGCGATGGCGACGCCTGTGCCAATCGCCACGGCGCCCATCACGACCCCCGTCCACGGCGTCAGCTTCACCATCATCGGCCCTCCCTCATCGCCATCCTCCTCCTCCTCCTCCTTCACACCACCGGCGGTACCGTCGTCGTCAACAGCAGGTTCCTCCTCCGGCAGTGCGGCAAGGTTATTATTGCTACCGCGGTCCTCTTGCTTCTCCTCCTCCTCCGCCTTCTCCGCGTCTCGCTGCTGCAGCAGATCGGCCACCACCTTGTCGACCCAACCCCCGCTACCAAGAGCGCCGCCGCCGCCGCTCTCCAGACGGCCGCCGGTGCTCTCCCGCCTACCGCTCCTCTTCTTGCGGCCGCCGAAGAACGGGGACAACTCCGCGCCGCCGCCGCCGCCGCCGCCGCGACGTCCAACGGCGGTAGACGCAGACGCCGACGATGGAGTAAGAACGCCTCCTGCCGGCGGGAACACCACGGTTCCTTCTTCCTCCCCCGCTTCGTCGTCGTCGCCTCCGGCCGGTGTTGGCGGCGGCAGCATCGACAACGGTGACGCGAAAGAAGAAGAAGAAGACCCCGGCGGCGAGGCCAGCAATTGCAAGGGCGGCATGACCACGCTGACGCTAGCCTGGCGGCGGTGGTCGCGGCGACGGCGGCGGCCCGACGGGAGGGCTTGGCTGTCGCCATCGTTGCCACTGCTGTTGCTGCTGCTCTTTGTCTCTTCTGCTGCTGCTGCTGCTGCTGCCGTTGACGGGGTAGCCGCCGCCGCCGCCGCCGCCGCCGTCGCGCCCGGCCCGAAGAACCCCGCGGCGGCGGGGGTGCCGGGGGAGAGGGGTGCGGTAGCGGTGGCGTCGACCGGGCACGAGTGGTCGGACGTGGACACGGTCAGGGAGACGCGGCGGTCGCCGTCCGCCTTGGTGACGCCGGCGGCGGCGACGGCGGGCTTGGTGACGGCCGGGGTCCTGGGTGTCCAGCAGTTCTGGATGCACGTGTCGCACACTCTCTTGGGCGCGGTGCGGGCTCGTAGCACCTTGTGTTTTGGGGGATTGTTGTGATGGGGGACGGGGGGGTGGGGTCGTTGTGGAACACATGAATGCGAACGAATGATTGGTTCGTTTGTTCGTTGTGGAATCGCTCTGAAGTGTTTTTTTAAGTGTTCCGGCGTACCAATCAATTGCTGTCTTTCTGGCAACGCAAGAACGGTTTCGCCAATACACTCGCGATGTCTCCCCTTCCTCACGTTGGGATTACGTTGGCAATCACGGGTGTGTCTCGTGTGTGTGTCTTTCTTGTTAGCATCGACCGCGCCAACCGGCTGACCAATGAAAAGGCGTCAGTCTCAGTTTGGTTGAGAAAACGAAACACTTGTTTCGCCTTTCTTTCATCTCTTCTGGGCGTCAGTATCGCCGTGAGTGCTGTACGCTGAATGCTAACATTTGCACCCCACACCAGTGTTGTTTCTTGGGAACTCGATCTCGTCCATTTGGCTTGCAACCTTGCAGCACCTCCCCTCAAAATGTTTCGCGTTTCTTGCTGCTCAAGAGAACAAAAAGAATATCGATCTCGGGGAGTCCAAACAAACACACACACAAGAGGTTTTTTTTTTATCTTCTACGGCGGATGGATGCATCGATTCATCTTTTTTCCCGCGAGCAGCGACGTACATAGGCACTTTCCGGCGAACCTAGATGCTAACTCTGTCTCCCCCGACGAAGCGGGCTTCCTACACCACCAGCCAGCGAAGGAAGACGCTGGCTGTCGGCGGAACTTGGGGAACTCCCCGAATCTAGGCGCTACGCTAGCCCATCGATGATTTGTCATCGAGACCGCCGGGGATAGGATACACTACTTCCAGCAGTATGCACCACCGCGTTCGTTCTGTGCGATGTTCAACAGCTCTAATGCAAACGGCAAACTGCCAAATCACGCCCGCCAACGGGTCGCGGGGGGATAGATAAGACTACTTGCTGTATCATGGCAAGAGGAACTTCCTTCCGCGAAAACCACGCCAACAAAAAAATAACCTAAACCAAGACTTGCCAAGACGAGGGAGGAGACAGACACACAGACAACCGACACTCGGGGATGTTTGTTCACAACCAGGCCGCTGTGGGGGCAGATTTGTGCGACTTAGCGTGCTGTCTAAATAAATTCAAACTCATTATGTACAAATACACACTTGGTCTCATTCAGCATTCAGCTGCTACCATGTCTAACAGCGATGCGTTTTCCTCCCATCATGTACACAATTCTTCCGAATTTCTTTCAACAGCACATACACCGTCCAACCAAGACACAAGTCCGGTTTTGAAGAGGGGAGGTGATTACACTCCCGTAGGAGCAAGAGGCGGTTCCTTAGAAACTTTACCGCACCCAAGTTCTTTCTTAGAATGTCAGCTTTCTGCGCGTCAGACTCGATGTACTCCACGCAACTACAGTACCTTGTCTTCGATAAGCGACCTTCCATCATGTACTTGATTGATATCCATGTGCTTCGCGCGCGACGTGATCTCAGCCACACACACACGAGCCGCTGCACTGCTGTTGTAGGCGTACTGCTGTTAAGTCTGTTCATCATGTGCGCGTATGTGCGTGCAGACACCGCTACTTGGGTTACTTGCAAAGCAGATTTGTGCGGGCCAGTGCGTTTGTGGTTTGGATGCAACCCGAAAGGCAGAACAGAAAAAACGTATGTGTGCGGATGATATGTGCTGTTATTAGGATTGCCAAAAACATTATATCCTCACCTTCCGACTCTTCGCGCAAGAGTTACAGACGGCTTGCCAGCAGTTGCGGCACTTGTGGCGGTGGTTTAGCCATGTGAAGCGGTCGCCTATGCGGGTGGGTCGTCGACGCGACGGTGGGGCGGGGCGGGCAACAAACACAGGCGGCGAGAGGAGGTGGAACAAACAGGGGCCACAAGAGAAAAACCGTTTACTTCGGGGGGTTTGTCCGACAGAGCGCTGCGCGCGAAATTTTGAGAGCAAATCCAACATTTTTTTCGTCGGGAAAAAGCTGGAGGGAGCAAGTAAAACCTGAGAGGTGGATGAGCAACTACTGCAGAGGGGAAGGCTGTGAGATGCAGTTGACACACACCGCAACAGCAGTCAGCCTGGTTTTGCTCCATGTAAGAACTTCCCGACGGGGTAGGTACGCACAGGATTGATTCGCTGGAGCCAACGGCGATTGTGCGCGAAGAAAAAGTCGCTCACAGCGGGAAAAAACCGCGCCGTGAGCTGCTAGATGCGACCTCGGAAGCAGCTAGAGGTTCTTGGTCTGTACCTCACTTACCACACACGTTGCACTTGGTGAGGTCCGTTTTCCACGTAGAAGGGGTGATCTGCAAGGGGATCTCTCTGAAGCCCCTGGGCGTGGCGCACGGCTTTGTCTGCTGCTGCTTCGCCTGGTCTTCCTCGTCGAGAGTCAGCCGGAGCTTGTTGGTGGTCATGATGACTGCCTCCGCACGCAGCAGCTGTGTGAGTGAGAGAGCCCTTCTCGATTTCGGGTGGGAGGATGAACGCTGTCCGTCCGCGGAGGGAGCGTGAGGTATGTTGCGTGTGACTGGTGCTGCTGCAGCAGAAATATGTGTGTGTGTGGAAGAGAGAGAGAGAGAGAGACCGCAGAGAGAACTCGGCGAGAGAGACCCGGGATTTCCGGTCACCTGAGAGAGAGCACTGTCAAAAATTGACCAATCAGCGACGTGCCGAACAAGGAGGGTCATCGCCCCCTGCAGGCTGGTAAATGAGCACACGGGCACACTCGTTCGTTCATCCACAACCATAGTACGTAGTACACGAAGGATTGTCGGCAGCACAGGGGAGGGCATTGCTAGCTAGCTGTCTACGTGTGGAGAGGGGTCGTGGCAGCTGGCTGTGCAAGCGTCGACGCAGGACCAACGGGAGAGCAGCACACTTTTAACATCTTGCTGGTGAGTTCAGTTTAGAGTGTTTGGCAAGATACATCACCGGCGGCGGGGGGGCCCTGGGCGAGCGACGCTGGCCTGCCTTCTCTATGCGCCCGTGGTGCTGAGATAGGTCATCAGCAGCAGAGCAGGGTGGTGGTGGTGGTGTTCTTCTCTGTCGGGGCTAGTCGAGAGGGGCAGGAAGCCTGCTGCTGTGAGATCTGTACAGCGTATGTGTGCACGAACCCCGCAGGAAAATGCTTTTTTTTCTCGGTACCGCTATTGTATCGCATTCTCTTCTTGCATGGTAGCTTGTTGGCCGCAACAACAATCATGCCCCTCGTCCTAACATGCAACAAAAACGAGCAACAAAGACTGGTTAAACCTCTACCGCCGCGTAGCACACCTTGGCCGTTCAGTGGTAAGTGGTGTGGAAGGTGTGTGTACTACTGGTCCTGGCAATAGTATCTCGTAGGTTCAGATTTTGAGGTAAGATTTTTTTTGCGAGACGGGCGTATCTTTCGCGCGCTTTTCTTTCGCCCCCGGATACAGGCATACACACACACACACACACACACACACACACACGGGGTCCCAGTTCATCGCAGATAGAAGTGTTTTGCGTTTTCAACCGCACTAAGACTGACGTCTTTTCATTGGTCAGCCGGTTAGCGCGGTCGATGCTAATAATAAACACACACACACACACACATCTTGTACACATCTTTGCATCTGCTGCCGATGCTGTGCAGCCTTAACCAGACTCAAAATATACTCAGTACCCAGCATGCTTTCTTCCCTCCTCGCTGCAAAGGGTTCAAAACACACTCCTTCGGCTGCTGTGATATTCTCTGGAATGGGATGTGCTTCCTTGATTGTTTGTGTACGAACACATAGCAGTCCAATGTGTATTTCCTAAGAAAGTATTGTTGTTTTTGTTGCTGTCATCACCCTGCCACCCCGCTAATCTATCGTGTACAACATCCAACTCGTGGAAAATAGCATGCGATCATCTCCTGCTTGCTTGCTTTCTTCCTCGCTTGAGATTGATCGCTTGCCAATCGCTCGCTCGTGACGTTGGTTTGGGCGACTCTCGCATGCCTTGCGTTGTTTTTTTAGCTTTCGCGTCGTCAATCTCTACGTGCTTTACTCTATGCAACAGCTGGAGAATAACTCTTCGTTGTCTTGTCTCACCCACGACCGTCACGCTACACAAGTGGCCAAAAAGTGCACCTTCATCGGCTCGTTGCGCGCGCATGTGAATATGCAGGGCTTTCTCTCCGGACGTGTTTTGATAGTTTCGGTAAACAGAGACCCCGGATTTATGCAAAGCACCAACCAACCATCCTTCCATGTCGAGCTTCCCAAACCGTCTGTGTTTTCCGTGTTGGTTTCGCGTCCAGGGACGTGACTTCCGCTAGTCGTGAGAGAATCACCGCTCACAAGTTTCGATTGATTGCATTGCATTGCGCGTGCGTGAGTGCAGCGGGAACGTACCGCCGGCTTCGGCGAGGTTGGGAACGAAGACGCCGATTCATGAAGAAATAAAGCCCCTCTCTCTCTCTTGTTTTTCTGCTGAATCTCCCAACCGATATCCGATGTTTCTGCTGACGCAAACTCTCTCGCAGCGCAGAGCAACGACACCCGCCCGCTACATACCACCCACCAGCCTTCCTCCTGTTCGTGCTCACTCATGTGCCGAGTGCCGCGCGCGCTCTCCCTTATGTCTCATCACCGTGAACTCGCCGGCGCTATTCGCGACTGTCACCACTCCCCCCTCTGCGCCAATCGAAGACGGATGGTGACGTCCGTCCTCCCTTGCGCTCCCCATGAATTAGTTCGCCCGCGACTATAGCTGAAAACTCCCTCCGAAGAGACAGAACTCTCAATTCATTCATCCATCCTCAAAGATGAGCCGGCCCCACCTTGGTACGGGCGCGTTTACCCCTGAGAAGTGATGCTCTTCACCACCACCGCCGCCGTTGCTCTACCACTATCCTACCCTGTGTTCCCTCTGACGGAGTGCGGTTCCTTCCTCTCCTCTCCCTCTTGTGCCCTCCGGTCCGGCCTTTCGTTTCCGCCATAAAAAAAAAAAAAACGAAAGCAGAAGCGAGCGAGCACGTCAACGAACAATGGCTGCTGCTCGGGTGTCTGTTAGGCCGGTGGCATTGACGACGACGACGGTGGACGAGGGCGTCGGGGGGGGCGTCTTGTTCGGCGACGGTCGGGCCTCAGCGACAGCGGCGGCGGTTACACAGGCGGCGACGGACGCTGCGATGATGCCACCGCCCCTATCGCCGCCGTCTCCGTCTCGTCAGCAGCAGCTGCAGGGAGAAGGGAGAAGGGAGGGCAGTCGTTCGGCGCCGCTGGTAGTCATAGACCTTGAGGACGAGGAGGAGGAAGAGGAGGAGGAGGAGGAGGCGTCTAATAACGAGGACGGTGACAACGACGACGATGACTATGACGATGACCTCGGTCTGCTGTCGGGGGAGGCGGTGGCAAAGGCGGCGGAGCTAGCGGCGGCGGCGGCGGCGGCGGCGGCGACGCCCGCGACAGCCGAGGGGGCACAAATCGGGGCAGACGAAGTGGTGGGCGGCGGTAGCGGCAGCCGCGGCATCAGCAGCCTTGACAACACGCCGGAAAGGCAGCAACAGCCGCAGCACCAACCGGATAGCCAATTTTCAGCGACCGTTTCCCGGGCTGTGTCGTCTTCGTACCCCACCGTTGGTGCGCCCGTGGCTCGGAGCAGCAGCAGCAGCAGCACGTCCTCCTCCTCGTCCTCGTCCTCCTCTTCGGTGGAAGACGTCGACATGCCGCTGTTCGACGAGGGCGGCGTGATCGCCATGGCCACGGACCAGGAAGAGGGCAATGGTAGCCTGCCTGCGCCCTCGTCGCCATCCTCCTCCTTGTCGTCGCCAAGCGCCGCCGCCGCCGCCCCCGCCCCTGCCGGTTCTCTTCACAGCGACTCCACGTTCCAGAGGAGCCGAAGCGACGGAAACGTCGGTGCAATCGCGGCAGCGGCGGCGGCGGCGGCGGCGGCGGCGGCGCCATACCAGCAACATGACGGCTTATTCCGCGGGGGGAGCAACAGCGGCATACAGAGAAGGGATGTCGGTAGCAGCGCCAGCGGCGTTGCAGATGGCAGGCCTAGAAGGCGTGGGGTATCGCTCGGCGGCGGTGGCGGCGGCGGCGGCGGCACCGGTGCTGGTGGCGGCGACGGCGGAATGCGGTCGGGTCTCTCCCGAAAGTTCGTGCGCAGCTTGATGCGCCACCTCAACATGCGGGCGGACTCCCGCCAGCGGGAGGAGCTCCGGTCCATGGTTGAGACGCTCAAGCACCGGAGCTCGGTGAGGGGGGTCGACATGAAGCAGGAGATCAAGCGCGAGGCCGTGTCGCTCCTCGGCCCGGAGCTCGCGCGCGAGGCCTTCGAGGCCTCGCTCTCGGAGACCCGCAGCGAGTTCCACCGCCAGCGCAG